CTGCTTTCATATTATTTCATGTTACATATTTTCAAATGAAAGCATCCTTTCATTTCAGATTGGAAAAACTCCTGTCAGCTGAAAAGGAATAAGACAGGTCTAGTGGTAGTGAATTCCCCCAGCTTTTATTTATCTGGGAAAGTCTTTATTTTTCTTTCATGTCTCTTAGAAATAACTTTGCTGAATAGAGTATTCTTGGTTGTCATTTTTTTCTTTCAGCACTTTAAATGTATCATTCCACTCTCTCTTGGCCTGTAGAGTTTCTGCTGAGACATCTGCTGATACCCTAATGGGGGTACTTTTGTAGGTCATAATAATCTTCTCTCTTGCTGCCTTTAATATTTTTTTCATCTCTGATTTTAGACAGTTTTGTTATGTCTTGAAGAACACTGTTTTGGACTGAAATAATAGGGTAAAATATTTAGGCTCCATGAATTTGGATGTCTAAAACTTCCCCCAGGTTTGGAAAATTCTCAGCCATTATTTCTTTAAATAAGCTATCTGCCCCCTTTTCCTCTCTTTTCTTTCTGGAACTCCAATAATTTGGACATTAGTGTTTTTGATGATGTCCCATAGATTATGTAGGCTTTCTTCACTCTTTTTCATTCTTTTTTTCTCCTCAGATTGGGTTATTTCAAAGTTCTTATCCTCTTTCTCACTAATTCTTTCTTCTATTTGGTCTATTTTGATGCTCTATATTGCATTTTTCATTTCACTTACTGAATTCTTCAGTTCCAGAATTTCTATTTGTTTTTTTTTATGATTTCTGTCTCTGTTAAATTACTCATTTTGATCTCATGTTTCCTTGATTTTGTTGAATTGTCTGTGTTTTCTTATAGCTCACTCAGTTTCCACAAAGGCAGCTACTCTGAATTCTTTACCAGGTAAATTGCAGATCTCCATGTCTTTGGATATGATTACTTCAAGGTTACTGTGATCTTTGGGTGATGTCTTGTTTCCTTGATTTTTCACATTCCTTGAAGTTTTGCATTGTTTTCTCATTTAAAGTAACAGTCACCTCCATCAATTTTTATTAACTCTTTTGGGTAAAAATACCTTATTGTCAATCCTGATACAGATTCTGAGATGTTCTTTGATCTTGTATGGAGACCACTGCTCTAGGCTTCCTGCTCCCTCTTGTGGCAGAATTCTTAAGCTTATCTGTCTTCTCTTGATCCTACAATGTACCAGACCAGCTGATGATAGCCTGTCTTTAGTTTTCCTGAAGGTGGCACTATAGCTCAAGTTTGTGGTTTCTCCCTTGCCCATAGACCCTAGCCTGATTTCTGAGCAAGCTCCTTGCCTACCAGAGCTTGCTCTCACTGCAGCCCTGGGAGCAACCCAGGGAACCAGCTACAGAGTGTGGGGAGGTGTGGGTTTGGCTTGTGTACACTGGGGGGATCCCTGGGTGAAGTTTTCCTCTTGGCTGGGGGGTGGGCTTCCAAATGGAATACAGAACACAATAAGCAGGAATCTTATCCTTTTAATGCCCTTTAGGAAACTGATTTGCTGCTCTCCCAATCTGTTTCCTCCCCCTAATCATGAAGCTCCCTCTTTAATCCTCTAGATGTTGTGAGAGAGTACTGAGTCTTCTTGGTAGTGTCCCACACAGCTGGGGAAGAGAGAAATTCACTCACTGACTCTCCCCACTCTCCCTCCCTCCACCACCAGAAGACATCACCAGCTGTCTAGCTTACTCCTAAATTGTGCCACCTTGGGCAAGGGATGATGCTAGCCAAAACAAGTCGTTCTCTTACCCACTTCAACACAGCCAATATATTTTTTTTCTTCAATAGAGTATTAGAATGTCTTTGGATACCTGGACTGCCACAAAGGTTCTCTTCTCTATTCTGTAGGTGTTCCCAGACTGCAGCCAAGAGGTTCCAGATTTGGTTCACAGTGTCCTGTAGGTTCCACAGCTGGTACCTAAGTCTGGTACCCCATGCACTGGATGGCAAGGCTGCTAGACCCCACGACTCCCACAGAGGTATTTCTGTTAATGGCCAGATGCCAAATTTTTGTTGTTGAAGTTAAGGGACAAAAATGAAGGTTGTCTTATGCTACCTTTAATGCCAATGTCATTCCCCCGGGGCATCCTATATTTTATCTGACAATCCTACCTACATTAGACCACCCTAAGCAAGAAACTTTTATTGCATTAAGGCACTGATATTTACAATTCTTTTATAACTACCTGCCTACTTTGACTAATGTAAAAAGCATAAAAATATTTTAAGGAATAGTAATAGAAATAATTACTAGTAATAATACTAGTAATAATCATAGAAAGAATTAGGTTTGTGAATGAAGTCTGAAAGTATCACCACATCATTTACTATGGGTAAGCTGATAAAGAACCAAGTACCTCTAACTCTCAGGAACAGTATAAGAAATAACTGAGACTCAGGGAATTCACTTATGATACTTGTTCAGCACATATCAGTTGTGATGTTCTCTTGGATCTATAACAATGAGTAAGACACATTTTGCGCTTTCAGGGACACAGCAGGATAGCTTATACAAAAGTTGAAATAACCCTTGTATAAATGCAAAAAGCAATATACACCAGATTAGGAGGGGAGACAGTGTTGATGAAAATGTTTAATTCTGACACTACAAAAGCTGTTGCAGAAGTAGCAGTAAGAGAAAACTGACTTGTAAGAAGACAGAGAGTGTATGTTAATTTCTTTGTCATGAATCCATGCTCCTGGAATTTAATGTCCGCTCCATTTTTGTTGGATAAATGAAATTCCCTTACCTTCATTTTGCCTTAAATAGTTCTTAAAGGGAATGTTTAAATATAAGCCTAGTTGATCTTATTAAAAACAAGCATGATGGCTACCATTTACTGAGAACCTACTGGGTGTTAGGCCTTGTATTAAGTGCTTAATATGATCTCATTTAATCATTATAGTAGCTATGAACGGCATTATCTTTTCCACTTACAAA